AAAAAAAAGAAAATTTATAACGCAAAATTTACTCGGAAATGCTCGACTTTTTTTACCATTTCACAGGAAATGGAGATCAAGTGGGAATTCAGATTTTGCATCAGAAAATATGTACACTTGCATGCAATTGAACATTAGTACGTGCTTGTACACGGAAGATGAAGATTTTGTACTAGCAATTTACAACCCCTTGAGCCAGAATGTGGTGTCACCCATTCGCATTCCCGTTCAACAGGGCAAATACAGCGTTGTTGATCTTACAGGTTGATCTTACGTATCATTTAACGATTATCATGCTATCTATTATTTGTCATTTATCTTTCGTCGACCTTCTAACCAATTTTTCCTTGTTTCGCTTGCAATTCATAGATAATGACGAATGACGTTTACTGCCAACTCATTGATTATATTCGATATTGCTAATTTTTAGTAATCTACATGTACTAAATAATCTAAATGATTGTATAATAATAACGAGGACTGTCTTCAGATAGTTTTCTTTTATCTGTTATTTTTTATCAGTTATTATTATTTTTATCAGTTATCAGTTTTTTTTTAAATTATCATTTTAAATACTATAATATAATATTCGAAATTAAATGTGAATTGTTACTTAATTTTCATTCAAGATGGGAATGAAATTACTTCGCAAATAGTTCCAATTCCTAAGTCTGTACAAAAAATACCAGGGAGGAATGGTGGTGCAACTGACGAACTTGTGTTCTTCGCGTCGCTACCGCCTCTCGGCTACAAGACTTACACCGTCAAAAGAAATTCGAAAAATACAAATATAAATCAGCAAGCCACTGCAGAAGTTTCCATTGATAACGAGGCAAGTATTTACTTACTTGTACATATGTGAGATTACTTTGCAAGAAACACATGTTATCGATCAATGCGACTTAAAAGTTATTTTTATACATCTTAATTGTTCTCTTATTATTATTACTAATACAACGAAAGACAAAATAACGCGTATATACGTGTTAATCGTATACGGCTTATCGTAAAAATACTATACTACGTGTTCTGTTACTGCTAATGGACCAACATTCTATCAACAATGAGGAATTCAGTAATCCAATGAGTAATTTCTGGAATAATGAACTCCCTTCGTTGATCAATCAAGAAAGCATGCTGTACTTGCGAAATATGTTTTTAATGAAAGTTGCAACGTTGCAACGTCAATGACAACGAACAATGTTTCCTACTTGCTTTCTTCTCTAGTTTTATAACGTGTCCGTGGATAAGAACGGCCACATTGTGGTAAAGTGGAAGAAACAAAATATGGAACTAACTCAATCGTTCCATTATTACGAAGGAATGGAGGGGAACAATGAGGAATTTAAAAACAGATCTTCGGGCGCGTACATATTCAGACCTAGAAGCTCGTCTGTGAAAAATTTTCTGAAGCCTGGTTCTTACAAAATATTCGAAGGTAACGATTTCAACGGTGTAGCAGAGGCGTTGGAATACCGTCAGATTCGATTCGTTGCCGGTTACAGGCCCACTGGTAAAGGAAATTCATCAGTACGTCACTGATTGGGTGTGTCAAGTAGTCCGAATTTATAATGGAATGCAATATATTGAATTCGACTGGCTTGTCGGACCAATACCTGTTAAGTAAGTAGATTCTAAATGTATAAAATGTATAAAGCTATGCATTTATATTTACCATAAACTTTAAGATACTCGACGAAGTCAATATTTATATTTAATATATATCGCAATCAGTCACAGTCATACTTTTTGTTCAAAGAGAAATCCTGAAAATTGCCATGAAACACGAGCAATCTGAAAAATAGGTAATGCAATTATACAATAACAGTGAGACGCAATTTTAGGGATAAGATCGGTAAGGAAATTGTAACGAGGTATTACAGCAGCTTAAATTCTTCCGGAGAATTTTATACGGACAGCAACGGCCGTGAAATGTTGAAACGGAAGAGAGATTATCGGCCAACGTGGAACGTCGAACTAGAGGAACAAGTGTCTGGCAACTATTATCCGATTACATCGAAAATTTCTCTAAAGGACGAAGAAAGCCAACTGAAACTTAGTTTACTCACAGATCGAGCAGAAGGTGGAACTAGTATGAGAGACGGAGAAATCGAAATGATGGTAAACATTTTTTCTTTCTCATCGTATTAACCCATTAAAAGTAAGAAGAAGAAAAACTCCAAATATAATATAATTTCCAAATATAATTATCCAGTGATCGTGTAAATATATTATACTATATGAAATAACAATAATCTTATTTATTCTTAGTATCTTAATAATATCTTTTTAAATTATTTTTGTATAATATAATATATTATATTATATGAAATAACAATAATCTTACTTATTGTATCTTAATAATATCTTTTTAAATTATTTTTGTATATATAAATATTATTGTATAATATAATATATTATATTGTATAATATAATATATTATTAAGATACAATAAATAACATTATTGTCATTTCATATAATATAATATAATAATATAATATATTAATAGATTATTGTCATTTCATATAATATAATATAATATAATAATATATTATATGAAATGACAATAATCTTATTTATTGTATCTTAATAATATCTTTTTAAATTATTATTGTACATATAAAATATCTTACGTAATGTGGGCACGTTACAGGTTCATAGAAGACTTTTAAAAGATGATGCATTCGGCGTAGGGGAAGCTCTCAACGAATCTGCATTTGGCGAAGGCCTAGTGATCCGAGGTTCCCACTACATCATCGGAGGTAGTTTGAAAAATCTAGACGAACTTGCATTGGAAGAGAAAACTTTGGCTCGTCGATTGTTACTTCGCCCATGGCCCTTCATCATACCCGTTGAAACGAATTCTTCAAGGCACACGCCATACGCACCTGGCTCGCAA